CACACTTCACTTCAAGTTGAGCCGCACAGGAATTTTAGAACTCTTACTACCGCACGTCTTTGGAATCTGATTAATCACTCTATACCCCCCTGACATGCACAAAACACACACTTACACTTACACAGTGCTGTAGTGCACGGTACACGGCAACTCCCAGCCTCTACCTAGCCCTCAAGGAGTCATCAAACACTTTGTGTGTTGAAAAGGGATTTGAGAGGGGTGATGAGTAGCATGTTTTTCAGAAGAGCAGCTTACACCTCTGTGCAGAGGATTAGCCGAATAAGCCTCAAGAACGTATGAGGCCTGAAGTTCAGTTTTTAAGGATGAAAATTGGCATTTTCAGATATCCACAAAGAGGAAGTGACTTCAGGCACACTTTCTACATGCAGAAGTAAGATCCTTAATTACACAATAAAAGGTTAATGTGAGCAGTTTCTTCTCAACGCATAATCTTAAGCTATGACAAACTCTGATGGGGTTTTTTCCTACTCTTTTTTTATCAAATTTTTATAAACTCACTAATTAATGAACCCAAAATAGAACAAATCAACTATTTGCTATCTGTGATATTCAGCAGTTTCTGCTATCCTCTAGGAGCAACAGCCGATCTTTCAGGGATTTTAGTGTAGCCAGGCTACGTTCAAAGCAAATGCAAAGCATCAAGCAATGCATCTGGGCTACACACATAAATCTCAGGCCACAAGAAGGAACCTAAAAGCTTTTGCTACCAAAAATCCTCTGCCTTTGAATTCTGCAACTGCGAAATGAAAATAGACGTCATAGCCACAGTGGCCCAGTGGATAGATGGATATAAATCTCAACAACAATACCCTCAAGGTGCTTAATACTGTAAGCTAAAAATCCTAAAATAATAAAGAGAAAATTGCGAACAATAAGACAACCGCCTATGAGCAAGCATTTGGCGACAGTGGAAAAAAAAACTTTAACAGGAAGAAACCTCCAGCAGAACCAAGCGCATGAAGGGGCAGCCATCTGCTGTCACAAGTTGTGGGTGTGGGGAGGAACACAGGACAAAGGACGCAGAGAGAGACAGACTTTAACAATAACTAATGATTAAATGCGGAGAGGTGTGTAAACACAGAGTGAGTGAAAAAAGGTGAATGAAAAAGAAAGTGCACCTTGGGAAGCCCCCAGCAGCCTAGGCCTATTGCAGCATAAAAATGGAGGATTTAGTACTACAACATTTCCAATTCAAAAAAGAAAGATTTAAGCCTAATTTTCAAAGTAGCGAGGGTGTCTATCTCCTACTTCCAAATGGTAGCTGGTTCCACAGAAGGCGGGCCTGGACGCTGAAGGCTCTGCCTCCTGTTTTACTTTAAAACATCCTAGGTAAGCAAGCCAGCAGTCTCAGAGGAAAGTGCTCTGTTGGGGTGATATGGTGCTATGAGGTCTATTACAAGTAAACAGTTTGACTGACTGAATTCATATGAACTCGCCTGGATAACCGTTCTAAGTTGTTACCCAGAAATCTTCAGAGGGAAATTGTTCTAGGACGCTACAAATGCTACAAGCTACAAATGTTTTACCTGGATGACAGTTGCCGCATAGTGTTTGCCAGCAGTGCTCCTATTAATATAGAAAAGTCTTGACTCTGGCTTTCCTCCATCTCCTCCTCTTTCTCCTCCTTTCTCTGTGATGGGGGGAGCATTAATGTTCCCACATATCTGCTTGTATTTCCTCCAACATTGCTGAATCACAACTGCTGCTGTGCTGCTCAAAAAAGAACACACACACACACAGGCATTTAAATACACACAAAGTGAGGGATATATTGCACATGATATCATAGCACCTTCATCTTTCAAAACATGAATTTATATGTGAGCAGACATCTGGAGAGCAGTACTCTGGAGAGTTTAAGCCTGTCTAAAGCCACCCTTCAAATCAAAGATGTATTGTCCTCCCAAAGATAGCACAGTGTTAATGATAAAGCTGCGTGTTAAAATGAATAAAATCTTCAACGTCTTCTGGTGTAAATCAAGTAGAGGAGGCTCCAATGATGACAAATGCTTTGCAGCAGAAACTAATAAAAGGCTGAGCTCTGTTAAAAGAATTACATAAAAACAGAGTGTTTGCTTTAAGTCGGCAGCATCCAGTTGTATACCACGAATGAATTTGGAGGTTTTCATCGCATGCATTTTTATCAGCTGATCTTTCATCGAATACAAAGGTTTTATTAGAGTGAATATACAAACATACACACGAGTGACTCAGATAAAAGCAGAGAGTGAATTACTTTTTGAGGTTTAAGTCTTGATGGCTGGAGACAGATGCCTTTTCATCACTGAAGAAGGTCGCTGGACCCTGTTTTGGGCCAAATGTGTCATAGTGACTCTCTGTAGCTGGAGTCTCATCAAAATTCCAATAGCTGCATCTCATGATGTCTCTATTTGGAAAGACTGGTGGTAATTTGTTAGTGGACTCTATATCTCGGCAATCCATAAGCTCTTCACCAATGACACTATCCAGTGTTTTCTCAGGCGCTGTTTGACTTGCAGCCCAGTGTTCATCAGACACAGTGGTCTCACCATATTCATGGGCAAATCTCTGGTCCTCAGCCAGCTTCAGAGTCATACTGAAGTGCCAGCAGAAGCTTTGCACATCATTAAAGGGAAATGCAAGTCTGCTGTAAACAAACACATACAAAAATATTTCACGTTACATTATTAACTGGCAATACAGACCAGTTTTGACAACAGGGCAATAGTCCTAATCAATGCAAATACCTGACCTGACCTACATAACTGATTTTATTTTTGCACATATATTTTTATCGCTGCCCATTTCATTTCTGCATTTCAAGTACACCTTACTCTGCATATTCTTATTTATCATGATTACTGTTCGCCTTTCTTTTAGTACCGATGAAGGAAGGAACCCCAGTTTCATTGTACAACACAAAGTATGACTGTGCAATGGCAATAAAGTGAATGACATTAAAGTTAATCTTAGTCCACATGGTTCCCAATCAAATTTATTTAATAGGTTTACTGTAAGCAGTAATTGTAGCATATTGTTCTGAGCTCAGGAGAAGCAGTTATCCACTTTTAGGGTTGTCTGTGAAGGTTCTCAGTCATCCAGGTCATCGTAGTCAAAGGAGCTTGCAAAGAAAAGCGTCTGGACTTCTTTAAGTTACTTGAAGACGTTTCACCTCTCATCCGAGAAGCTTCTTCAGAAGCAGAACTGAAGAAGCTTCTCGGATGAGAGGTGAAACGTCTTCAAGTAACTTAAAGAAGTCCAGACGCTTTTCTTTGCAAGCTCCTTTGACCACTTTTAGGGTTGTTTAATGCAAGAATGAGATTCTTTAAATATGTCTTCTCTATGTCCTGTGAGGTGAACTCCGTGGAGAGGATTGCTCTGATACTGTAAAAGCAGATAAGCTATAACTTTGACTTTTATGCAGGTCAGATTTAATTATACTGGTGATAAGAAGAAAATTGTTCTGTTTCCAGAATAGATTCACATACATTCTAATCACAATGAGGATTATACTACTAGTCTATAACCAAAACTCTCAAAGAAAGATTTATTTAAAAACACACAGTGATCGGTGGTGGTAGAAAATTAAATCATTCAAAAAGGATCAAAGCCATTCCATTTTGAGTTAAATATCACATATATATCCATTTTAGCTCTTATTCTTGGCCAGCCTGTGATAGGTGTGGTCAGTGTGTCCTTATATTTATGTGAGGGTAGGGGTGGTGAGGGGGCGAGAGAGAAAGAGCTGTCTGCCTGCTCTGTGTGTGCCCTAATACCATATAATGTCTCTTTCATTGAGGGGATAAACTGACAACAAAGCTACCTCAATGGAAACTTAATTAATCTATTAGCTATGCTCCGCTCCTTGTCTTAAACCCCGAGGGGCCAGAGACGCTCGGCCAGTCTGGAAGGCCAGTAGCCACAAGTAGTGCAACTCCTTCTCTACAAAGACCTCGCTCTTCACTCTCAGTGGGATAAGAAAGAGAAGAGTCAGAAGGTCTTAAAGGATTGTGACACCAGTGACCCTCCCTCCCTCTACCTGCTGGTTCACTCCAGGGTCACCATAACACGGGTAAAAGAAAGCTTCAGTATACAATGTTCATGACAGGAAAATGAAAAGTTATTCACTGATTAATACTCGCCTGTGAACATATCCAACCATGTATGTAGATGCTAAAAGCTCTCAGTGGTTATTTGTCTTCTGACTTGCAATACAGGAAATTTAGAGATATTTGGTGTTGCTTTATCACATGGGTGTCCCCAGGAGGCCACTCAACAAAAAACTGAGGTCGAGAGCTGTAAGAAATTCCTGAGCCAGCAGCAAACCCTATACTAGTTATATTATAGAGGCGTTTACTGTCCTTTTGAAAATTCAATTTGTGTCTGTCGCAACTGTCAGACAACTATGAACAGAACATAGAAGACCTCACAGCTCCAGAAATGATATGTATACTTAACACAACAAAAGTCTTGTGTAACTGTTTCACTTCTGTGTTCACTTTTTCTACATTGTGGGTGAAAAATGTGGTTTGGTGATAACAATAAAATTGATAAAAACAGAGAGAAAATCCCAACAATCAGACGACCCCTAAGAGCAAGCACTAGGCAACAGTGGGGATGAAAACCTCCGGCAGGGCCAACTATCTCACAGGACTGGCTGGGGTGAGTGGTGGGAGAAAGGATAAAAGATATAATGCTAAAATGTTGATGAAAACAAACACAAAAAAACATATAGGTTGCTGTAGTTGCTTCTGCTGTTCACACTACCCTTTGCAAGATGCTCAGGGCACATTTAGCTAATGCTAAAATGAGGCTTCAGCAATCTGAAATGGACTAATACTGGTGTATTCTTCAAAGCTTTGGCTTTTTGCCTTAGCAGTTTTTCTTTACCATACTGTGTGATGGTACCACAAACAGAAGGCACAATGAGTGGAAAGTACTCATTTCATTTGTTTAACTCAGACTGCTCACACACTAGCTTTAGCAAAACTCTATAACCCATCTTTTTCCACATGACATAGAAACATAATTTTTGATTCACTTCTTTTACATTACAACCACATAAGGAGCAATTCAAACCTAAAAAATACTAAGTGCCATAGAACGCAGTGGAAAAAGTGGGGAGATTGCGGTAGTAGATGGGTTTATTGGTCTTTTTCCCACCACATCCACAAAATGTTTTGATTTAATGGCATACAGGACTGGATTGTAAGGCATGCTCATTTATGGGTGAAACAGAGGCACTTTGGTAGAATCCCTACACCTTGTAAAAGAGAGTAATAGCCCTAATACGCCACAGTACCTCACCTTACAGTCACCAGTTGACTGGCGTGTGGCACTCTTCTCAACTCCCCTAAAAACTCAGTCTGACACAAGGTCAGGCCAGGGGTTAAATGGCTGTGTTGGCTCTTGCAAAGCCCCCAAAATGGCTCATTGTCCAGAGGCCAGAAGGGTAGAGGGCACTCAGTGAGGGGCGAAGCAAGGGGAGGGCCACGCTAACCTCCCCCAAGCCATAGGAGTCCTCGATGTGACCCATACAAGAAGCCGCCACCGTGTTTCATCTTTTGTACTGTGTAATTTGAAAAGGTCAGGAAGATAAGCAGAAAGTTGACCACTGTTTTAAGTGCTGGTGGTCCTCCTTGTATAGGAGTGTCAATATGTGCAGAGGCCAGTGACATTGAAGGACTTGTGAAAATAGATGGACGTTGTCTTTAGGCTCACTACGCCCTATGTATCAGACATAACAAGAGGATAGCTAACATTCCTCGCTGCTTGATGGCGGTATCTCTGACAGGTTCAGCAGCACATGACAAAAAAAGTGTAATATAACCTCTGGTGCATTGGTTTTGGGTTATTTTTGTTGTTTTGCCCTGTTCTTTATTATTCCCTTTTACTATTTGATTCTTCTTTTCTTTTCAACCTGTTCTCGGTTTGACCTCATGCCTTCATCCTATCTCTTTATATCTGAAGTACTCTCAGTCAAACATAACTTGATTTTTATGCATACAGTAGAAGAGACGAGAATTCTGCAGTACAGTATTCGTTTTCTATTACCATAACCAATTTTTTTTAATTATTTGAAGCTGAACATTTCGCACCTCTTCCCCATGATCTGCTTTCAAGCTTCTTCAGAAATCTGCAGCTTACCTGCAATATTTTAGTTTACAAATACAGATCATATAAGATGAGTGTGAGAATGAAATCTGACAATATGGAAATTGTGTAAACTGAGTTCACAATAAGCACTTGTATCTGCAGATTGTTTTCTCTTCCACAATGTGGATAACTTTAGAAAGTGTAACTTCTGGGGTCAAACACACATCCAACCACTGGCAAAACCTGCAGCTATCCACACTAAACACATAGCACACTGCCAGCACATCCACACAGGCAGCCTGTCTCTTACCTGTGCTCCCTGCTGTGATGCTGCTGTAAATTCTGAGTCTGCTGAAGCTGAGCCTGGCAGAAAGTTAGGAAGCAGTCTGAGGCCAAGCTGACCTGCTGAACAGCTGGAGGCAAGAAAAAGGAATCTGTCTCCTGGCTATCAATGACTCTAAGGCCAGGCACTGATTTCTGTAGTGTGGATCTGAAAAGGAAAGTAAAATCAGCAAAACCTGAGCTGTGCAGAAGTGATTTTACTAATATTTTTAAATGCATCATTTATACCATTTTAACTGCAACTGGTATTATGTATATCTGTATTTTTGTATGAACTCATTACCTCTGCATTAAAGGCAAACAGCTTGGTGATTTTTTAAAGTTTATAATAAACAACACTATTAACAGGTAACAAAGACAATGAGGGCAGCTTGAATGGAACTCAGGTTGAGGTTGCACAGAGGTGTCAGGGCTATGAAACAGGACACTTATTTTACTCAACAGATTTTGTAGATCACAAAATAGTTTTGCCAAATAGACGTAGTTTAATTTGAGTTCTATGTTTGTTTCTAGTTATTTACTTATTAATACGACTCATAACTGTCAAATTACAATCACTGCCTGACTAAGAAAATAATATTCACAGCCAACAGAAAGCTTCTCTAAAGCTGGCAGAACCATTCTCTGTTTAGACCGTAGTGTTTTGAGGAAACCGTTTAACTTTCCTCTCACAGTATATGTTGTTTTGTACACAGTACATTTTGTTCTCTGAACTAATTAAAGGACCATATGTACAGTGATTTAGTCATCCCCTGGTATTAATGGTTGTCTGAGTCTACAATCTGAACCTGTTTGAACTCATTACTATTAATCTTGTGCCGTTTTCTAAAAGTGTAGTTACACAGCCACTTTGGATAGAAATCCTTTCCAAAGTGCATATGTTAGGTAGTGTGAGCATTCAGCTGGAGGAGCGCCCTGAATGGCTGTGATACAGGGGGAGAGGTAACCACTGCCCGAGGCTAAGGATGTGCAAGCAGAGGAATCTCAAATATCTGCCAGAGAAACAGACTAAGAGCATCTACTAGTGGAGCACTGGCCAAATGTGGTCTCTGTGCAGTGGGAAAATGTGGAGCTGGAAACTCTACAGGGCACTAGGGAACAGCAACAATAAAATTTGCAAAAATAAAAGCCTTTGGGCTGCGAAGTCAGTTTTTAAAACATTAAGAACTGGGTCTTCTAAAACCGATTCCCAGAGTACTGTATGCTCTTAAATCTGTCCCACGACTTCACCAGAGAGAACAAAACATGTGTTGAGGTCATTTACTGCTTCAGATGCATTCATAAATGGTTTATATGAAAATGTCTTTCTTTATAATGTGAAGTACTTTACATGTACTTATATATTCACAATAGGTTTTCCTTACCAGATAGACAGACAGACAGACAGACAGACAGACAGACAGACAGACAGACAGACAGATGAAGAAGAAGAAGAATGAAGCTCCAAACCCGAATTAGACAAAATTGGATAAATAGCAGCAACTTATTACCTTTTTAATATAAGGACTTCATTATTCACAGCTATATCTACAGTGCACTGAAGATACTCAAACTTCAACTTGAGTCTTACTAAACTGTTATAAATTTTATCCTCCTTTTCTTTTAAAACACTTTTTTGGATCCTTCATCCTGATTCTCCAGTTCCTATAAGCATAACTCTGTATTTCATTTAGTGAAGACTTCCTCCAAAACATAGGCTCTTTAAGCGGCTCTGATTAATCAGGGCCAGTATTTTCTTCATCTATTTCTCCTGGATCAGGGGGTGCCTACAGGGATTGTAATTCTTAGCGCTTGCCTTTTGGTGCTTTTATTTAGCCAGTGTTATCACTGGCTGAGGATGAAAGGGCAAGGGCATGAGTGTGGAAATATTGAGGGTTAATTCTACTGTTGGCACTGGGGGTTAAGTAAAGTTCAGTGAAAAATTAAGGTAATGTTTCAGGTATGGCTTAAGGAAGAAAGTGTTCACAAGTAACTCATAGTTTTACACCTATTCCAGCAAAGAATCCTCTAAAAACTCAATCTAAAGATAAAAAAATAGATTTTATGTTCATATTGTCAGCACAATAAAAATCATTAAAAAAAATATGGTACAATGTACCATTTTAAAATGAATATAAATTTTTAAAGGCTCTTTTTCCTGTATTTTTTTAATCACACGTTAAATTTTGCCATTTACCATTTATGGAAACCAACATTGGCAGTGGTACTGGCAAAAATTTAACAGAACTTTTGTTTTGTTTTGTTTTTTTATTGAAGTTTTTATTGAACCTGCTGGGCAGTAACTCCAACATATGAACAATGATAAAAATCTGACTATTAAATAAGCAAAAAGTTTCCAAAACTAGTATAGTTTTTCATATTTTGGTTATTTTGCTGGGTGTAACTGACTCTGAGGAGCCAAATAACTTTGCAAACCTGTAACAGCTGACATCACCGCTCATGACATCCCAGTAGAACCTCAAAGAACATACGTGCTCATTGCATATTTTTCATATAAACTCATTGCAACTGCCTTAACACTGGTAAAATATTTAAGCAATGTAAGTGAATGAGCAAATTGACAATGAAAAGATAATTGATTTTTCTGCTGTATCAATATTTTGGAAATTATGACCACTTAGTGTGGCATACACACATACAGATGTTGGTAATCTAATAGGCAATGCAGATCAGAGCGGTAATCCTGGAAGTGGACAGGGAGACCAGTGTTCAGCTGGAATGTTTAGACTACCTGAGCCCACAGACTAAATTTTGGATAGGCAAATACTGACTTTTCAGTGGTATTTTCCTTTGATCACCCATCATAGCAAGTTATATTTAAGAGCAAAAGAGGCAGAAACTGGAACTTCTATCCAAATAATTTCCAAAAAGAACAGAAATTTCTAATTACTATATCTTGATTTGAAACTGTGGAGCAGGTGAGGAAAATGTGCCTCAACGAGAGGCAGCCAGAAAATTCAAGATTCCTGAAACTAGCGCAATGCACTATCACTGCATGATGGGTCGTGAAAGCAGATACATACAGATAACAACATATTTAGTTCTAAAAAGACAGTATATCATGTCATTTTCTTACTCTGTCCAGTGCTTACCCTACCTCCAGCCACTCTCCTGCTGAAGAGGATTCCCTGTGAGGTGGATTTCACGCAGGAACTGACATCCCTCAAGATTTTCACACACATTCTGCAGGTCTGAAAGAGAGCATGACACGTTTTTCAATATATTCTTCAGTTTCAATATAACTCCAACTTACAAACTATATCAACCTACATGAAATAAGCAGAGGTGTGTAGTGAACTTATATCCAAATTATTAATATTACAAAGTTACAAAATTTTACACAAGGCACCGAAATAAGATCAACAAAATATAAAAGCAATAGTTCAAGTACGGCGAGCTGAAAGAAGAAGAAAAACCACAGGTTTTAAACTGGCTTAGGTGGTAAAACAGGTTGACCACTAATCACAGGATTAGCAGCTCTATACTCGGGCTGTCCTGAGCAAAACAATGAAGGCCAAGCTGCTCCTAACAGAGCAGGCGATGCTCTATTAGGAGTAGCGCTTGCATAACAGTGAACAAGAGACGTTTGCTGAACCACTAAGGTAAAACAGCGCTAAACAAGCACAGCCCATTCACCATTTTATAAAGAAAACATGTTACCTGACAGGCAGTTGTATCTAAGATCCAGATTTTCAAGGGACACAAAATTAGACATGGAGGGCAGCTGAGTAATTCTAGGAAAATAAGAGACAAATTACATTAGAAGCTAGACCACATCTCAATGCATCGCTCATGTCACCGTTAAACACAGAAGCATTTTGAATTTATGCGACTGTGTGGCTTTGACTCGTCGTGGTTTTACAGAACCTACTGATTGCAATTTTTTATATCAAGTTACATTTTCAAAAGAAAGAAAAGCCAGAAAAAATTGTTGCACGTGTGTTATTTTCTACTTTGAATATATATCACATAACAAAACTTGGGCGAAGACAGATGGCAAGTAGTACTGGATGAATACTGGATACCCGTTTTGAGCTGCAGAGAGGTGCTGCATTAGAGGAAGCCAGCAGGCAGCGAGGCCGTGAAGGGAGGAGACGCTGTTGTCATCCAGATACAGCTCTCTGAGGAGGACCTGGTTGTTCAGACTCGGGGGCTGATGAAGCAACAGGACAAAGTCGTCAGTTAACACCCATCACACTGTGAGGTTAGACTAACTTCACACCGCTGCTCCTGCTGTAGCAACGAAACGACCTCGTCCATCAATGTCAGTTGTTTTAGCCCTGCTATGCCTACTGCTATGAGTCCCTGCCACAAGCGAAGCTCGTCAGGTTCATTTTCACACTGCTTGTGAAGCACTGTGATAAAACTTTCAGGCTTGGCAAACACAAGCATAGTTAATCTGTGACTGAAAGATTACTGAGGATAGAGTGGACCATTATCACATGTGTGCAATAATATACATTTTTAACAGCACATCTGCTGGACTGGAGAAAATTTGAAATTTGGCCAGGTAAAATTTATTTTCACAGCTGAGAAACGCGAATTAGCAAACAACAGCATGTGTTTGACTGAGGTACTTCTTGGATTAGATCTGATGGATCAGCTTCCTTTTTTTAAATTAAAATTAAGCACCTTATTTACATTTGTCATACTTGCCTGGTTTTAATTTTATTTTTTGAAGGTTTGACAATCGTTTATCACTAAATGTAACTTCTGGAATAAGGGGAACTGTTTCTCAATTAAAAGGGCACGTAGTAGATAAAAGCAAAAGGATTTTAGGCTTAATTCAAGCCCATCACCTGTCTCAAACACCCACACCACTTTCTCTGCGGCTCTCGCAAAATTGCAACAGTGAACAGTGATATTAGATTTCGTGCTTCCAGTCACCTGCCGTGAGTTTTTACCTCAGTAAGGCCGTTTCCTCTTAGATCCAGTGTGTGAAGCAGAGCACTGTTCTCCAGACCCTCCACGTTGGCCAGGTGGTTGTGAGAGCAATCCAGGTGGAGCAGTGTATATACATCTCTCAGCCCTTTGGTGTTGATCAGCTGGTTGTGGTTCACTGACAACCTCTGTAGCCTCCTTACAGACTCCAGACCAGCTAGGAAGCAGACAGAATATATGCAGAAAGCAGAGCATGAGTCTTAAAAGTTGACATGATACAGTCTAAAAAAAAAAGTACAGTCTGTACATGGAGTCAAAATTGCAGTTTTCACTGCAGAGTGAATGGTGTGAAGTCCTCAGCAGGAAAGAAGAGAGATGCTGCCCTCTTGTGTTACATTACATTACATTGATTTTTTGACCAGAAGAGGAAGTTTAGTTAAACCTGGAGGGAAACTTGGAATTCCTGATGTTCATCTATGATAGTCCTTTAGCATGTGAGGTAATAAGTAAAATGTTGCATGAAAGATTTTAGATACTGTTTGTTTGTTTTTTTCCATTTTCACGTTTATTCCTCAGGTTTGATAAGCTCTGAATGTAGTCCTTTAGAATTTCAAATGAAATATATGTAAGAAATGTATTGTAACTGCAGCATGTCTTTTACCAGGATTCTGATGTTAAGAGCCATAACTTTCATTCATTTTGTTAAACATAAAGAAGTCCAAATGCATTTGACATACTACGTTCTGTGTTTACATGGAACACGATGGCATCGTGCCTGTTCTCAGGTTAAGTGAATGCTGCTCTTTTTTGAGGATTTTAGACTTACCAGGATCAGTCACGCGTTATCTCAAGCTGCTACACACACATTGTTAGCAAATAAGTATTTAAAACACAAACACTTTCAGACATTATACTGACGAAAAAATTAATCCGTTTTTCTTTTTTGGGGCTTTTTTCAATAGCTGTCAGTGTTTCATGAGTTCTCACCAATACGGGTGATGGAGTTATGCGAGAGATCAAGAATATCCAAATTCTCAGCACCATTTAAACCATGGATGGAAGTCAGCTTGTTGTGGGCAAGTTGAAGAACTCGTAAGCTGCTCATGTTTTCACAATCCACAAATGAGATGTCATTTTCCTAAAACAAAACAAAAGCAAAGCTGTTGTGACTGAAATGACTGAAACAACATGAAAAAAAATCACAGTAATGACTAGTTTTTTGTTATTTTTGTTATTTTTTAACTATATAATCACCTGTAGGTCAATGTACCAGAGCTCTTGTAAGTGGTTGATACTTTCCAATGATTTCAGTCCACAGCGTCTGAGGGTGAGCGACTGAAGTTGAGTACACTGGGCAAGGGTAAAAAGGCTACAGCCAGGTAAGTCCTCCAAGGTCACGCTGGTAACCTGAAAGAGAGCCAAACATATTTCAGCGCTTCTGGATCTCAAATGAAAATAATGGGTTCTATGTGTGAATATTCTTTCCGAACACAACAAACATTTAAGTACAAAACATTTTCATCAGTGTTCCTGGATCACAGCCAAGCACACAGTATGTTACCTCCTGCAGGGATCTCCATCCTGTGGACTGAAGCAGAGTGTGTGGGCACAGAGGGGGCAGACTGCTACCCTCTGCCACCCTCCTTGGCCCTGTCCTACTCCGGACTGATCCTTTCTGCTTCCTCCTGTTCTGGCAGGACAGATTAGACCAAGGGATGCATTCCTTCATCCACAACAGCCTTTTCTGCTCTGTGTGCTCTGGAAGGCCTGCAGGCAAAAAGCAAGAAGAAGTGCCAGGCTTTGCAGGATCTTGCCGGTTACTGGTTTTATACACAGGGATCTGACTGATGTTCTTGTTTAGGTTCTGTTGTTTTGCAGTTTCAGAGCTGACAGGGTCAGCTGTAGATTCACTCTGCAGTGGATCAGCACTTGAGGTCCGCGTGGTGCTGCCTCCTGGGTGTGAGATCCTGCCAGTATTCTGAGATTGCATGCTGCTATTTTCTCTTTCCTTGTCTCGCAGCTCATTCTTACTTATGACTCGTTCTTTCAACTCTTCTTCTACTTTCCTTTCTTCTGCTTGTATGTTTTCCTTCACCTCATTTCCATAATCCTTTGCATCTTCCTTGTTTCCCGTCCCATCCTTCTTTTTTCCTATACTAAGCCCCTCTTGGTGTTTCTGCAACTCTTCTTGCTTCTTTTCTTTATCTTTTTTCCTCTCATGTTCCATTTTTGTGTTCTGGTCTTTATTCTCACAAATCTCTGGCTTGAGTTTTATTACTTCATCTGTGTTTCTGTGTTCTTGTTCTTCATTCTGTTTCATTTCTGCCATTCTCATTGTAATCAGCTCTTCTTTGTTTGTTTTAGTCTTTTCCTCCTTCCTTATCATATCTTGATTTTCCAAACTCTCCTCATCGTTCTTTTTCTTTTCTTCACTTTCCGTGAGTTGCATTTTGTCATCTATTCTTTTATTCTCATCTTTTCCCCTGATGTCTTCATTCAACAGCTTTTTCTTCATCTCGGGCTTTTCTCTTTGCTCTACCTCATTTCTTTCCATTTTATGCTCTGTAGTTTTTCTCACAATTTCCTTTCTTGTCGTCTCTTCCTCACCTCCGTTATCTATTCTCTTTTCTTCCTTAATACTTCTTATTTCTTTATTTTTTGTCTTTTGATCTTCAGTCATCTTCCTTCCAGAAACCTCTGTCACAGCCATTATTCTTGTTTCCTCGTCCTCACTTTTCCTGTTTTTCTTTCTCTCCTTCTGCTTTTGCTTTATCTCCCCCACCTCTTGTATCTCTCTTCTCCTCTCCTCATCCTTGATTTCTTCAATTTTTCTCTCTTCCTCTTTCTTTCTAATCTCTTCTTCTTCCATTTTCTTCTTTACCTCCTCCCTTTCCCACAGCTCCTTTTGCTTCTTTTCTTCTTTATGTCTTAATTTTATCATGTTTTTCTTTTCCTCTTCATCCAATCTTTTCCTCTCTTCCAGTTTCTTCCTTTTCTGTTCTTCTTCACTCTTAATTTTCTCTTCTTCCTCCTTCATTTTCCTTCTGTCTTCCTCTTCCTGCTTCTTTTTCGCTTGCAGGTCTTCATTTTTCCTTTTCTCTTCTTCATTTTTCCTTTTCTTCTCTTTGTTTTTCTTTCTCTGCTCTTCCTCAATCATCCTCCTCTCTTGCTCCACTTGTTTTTGTAAGTTACCAATCAGTTCCTAATTAGAGATGATATTTATAGAGTTACAAAAAACTAGTTGCCTCATTTCTTTAATCTATTCTTTGAAATATATTAAGCAAACTACATGGAATTTACAAACATCACAAAAAGTATTCAATCAAAATGGAAAAAAGCATCTATAAGTACTAAATTTAAGGTGTGTTTTTGAGGACCACTGATTTATAAATCCAGTATGTTCAGTAAATTGATTTTACCAAATGCTGCGCTGATAACAAATACCCAAAAGTATATCAAATGTCTAAAAATACAATGGTGAGCCTGTGCTCTACGTCACACTGCACACAAATTTGAAAAAAATTAAAAAATTAATTACCTGCTGAAGCAGCATCTCCTGCTCAAGTTTTTCCTGGGCTCTTTTCGCCATCAATTCCAGTTCCTTTTCATGCAGCTGGAACCAGAATAAATAAAACACAACAGGGTTAATTAATACAGCCATTTTTGCTGCATTCTGTATTTTCTCTGTGACAGTTTGCCCTCCGTACCCTTGTCTGGGGGTATGAAACATCTAATACTGAGGCATCTGAATGAATACATTTATTTTCCCCACTCCTTAAGAACACAGTAAAACAACAGGTCCCTTGACTTTAGTGATGAATGCTGTACATACCAGCCTGTACCACAACATACCAGCCCATCATATTATCATAATACAAATGTTTGTCCTGAGAATCAGAACAGAACTGAGGGGGAAAAGGCTTTTAAATATGCTGGCCTGGTTTTCTGGAATAATCTACAGAAGGGATAGAAATTGTCAAAAATGGTTACGATGCAGGAGTTTAAGTTCATTTTAAAGGAGCGAGAGAATAACTCAAGCACCAATCTTGCTCCTGCCACAGTTACTGTAGAAGCACAGGACTGCAATCACAATACACTGCACTAATTACCAAAATGCTGCAGTACTCTACAGCTTACACAATAATAATCTGCAATCTATCCTAATTATTATTTTTTCTGTTCTCAAACTGTTCTCCCATTAGGAGCTCAGTCTGCGTGGAGTTTGTTTTTCTCCTCCTCTCACCTCATGTTGTGTATTTTCGTTGTTCTTCTTATCAGTTTCTGACCTGTCTTCCCAATGTGATCTTTGTGTAAACTATGTTTGGTTGGAGGGTTCCTTTGTTACTACGCTCAAATCAGTGTTCCTCCATGTGCCAGTGAAAGCGTGACCACTGCTTTAATGCTATAAATAGACTGTAGAGTCCAGGCTAGACAAGCTATCTCTTATGTGTTGTGCCATTTCTTAATGGTTGTTTAGTTTACCTACATAATTCATCTCAATCTTCTTGGTCCTTAACTGCATACACAATATTACTCTGTTTAAGGCAGAGGACACAATCCTCGGGGTGGACAAACTTTTGAGAGTTTTGTTTGGAATTTGAAAGCCACAGAGACACAATGTTATGAAAACATGTGTCACTGTTGTTCCGACACTCCAGACACATAAGGAATCACCAGTGGTCTTCACTTTAGATGACACTTTAGCACTGCTTAGTTGTCTTCCCAGCGTAGTCAAATACCCAGCTGGATAACCACATTTACTCAGGCTCTTCTTGATATGATGATCTTCTGCTTCTCTGCCCACTGTGTCTTTGGGGATGGTGTTCTCAGTGTGTCAGTGTCCTAAAGACACACAATTTTTGCTCCAGTGGACAATTACAGTCAAACCTTTCATATCCTCTGTGGTGAGCTTGATCGGTCTGTGGACTAAGTCTGTGTACTTACTAAGTAAGGTATCAGCCATAAACATAAACAATGGCTCTGTGGTGCACCAGGCTATCTGTCAGGGTCCTGGGACTGGGCGACCCAGGACCCCTGGGCAGTCATGGACCTGTGTTATTGTTGTGTATTTTGGTGTTGCTTCCCCTTCTCTGTGCTTGTGTGTATGTGTGTGTGTGGGTGGCTGAGCACTTGTTTATAGGCGGCGTCAGGCCTGG